ATAAGATAAACCGCTCAGTTGCAGCCGTTAGAGAAGTAGTGAAGGACTATGGTGGAAAGATGGCAGATCCAGGATCTGTTATGTTCAAGTTCAGACGTGCTCGAGTTGTGAATGTCAAGGCCTCTGATGTTGACAAAGACCAGCTTCTCACCATTTCTCTAGATGCTGGCGCAGAAGATGTTATTGAACCTCCGGAATATGAAGATGATACAGAAGAAGAGAGGTCGGAAAGGTAGCGTCTCTAGTAGTTTTGCTTGCTTCTTCAATACATAACGGTTGTTGTTATGCTTTTATCAATAATGAAACTTGAAATTTAGTATTATTGAAGAGCAAAGCTTTTTTGATATATCCAATATTAAGATTATTTTGAAAGAAATTTTATCCCCGTTTGTTTTTCCTGCAGATATTACAAGATTGTGACTTCCACAGAGAACTACTCGGGAATACTATCCAAGTTACGGGAAGAAAACATAAAGTTCGAACCTGACAGTGGTTCTGAGCTACTTCCTATAAGCTCGATTGAGGTATGTATTTTAACGTATATGTGGTTTCTTCATGTCTCATCACTTTAAGTTACTTCAAGTTTCTTCTTATCCTTAATTTACAGTTTGTTGGAAGGCTATTAATACTTTAAAATCGCAAATTTCAACTCGACATGAATTTTTTGAACAAGAGACAACAACTTGAAATGAATTATTACATAAGAAGAAAACGAAGTCTTGCATTAGTTTTTCAGTCAATTATTTGTTACTGTTGATAAAGTTTTCGAAGCTCAAAATTTAGAATTTCTGTACATATGCACGACACTTCGGGGAAGTTGGGTCTCTATTATGGAACAAACAAGAGGAAAAAAGTCAAAACCTTAGCAGTCATTGTGGTATCAGTGATAATAGGATTGACTCTTTATTATTACTTCTTTTTATAAGAAACAAATTATTTCATTGATAAATGAAATTACAAAAGATGTAGGATCCTATCTATAGGAAGATTACAAAAAACTTTTCCAATGGGATATAAGAGATGCAAGACTACAACTATGACAAGGTGGAACCAATTTCCACTAATAGAGAACTAAAAAAGTAGTAGAGTCAATAAAAGATTTGATGCCCTATTGTTTGTCTGGGAAGATATGGGAGTTTCTCTCTAACCACAGTCCGAAAATGAGCACGGATAACACGGAGCCATAAGATCTTTTTCTTGTTCTTGAAAATATAGCCGGTGAAAGTGAGAGATAGGAAGGAAGAGATGTACCTCCAAAAGCATAAGTGTTAAAATTCCAAAAAGCTGTAGCGTGGTATAACTGCTGGACTGGTGAATGGTAGTCTCTTGGGCCTTTTTACAAATGATGCAACAGTTAGGGGAGATGGCAATCCAGGGGGATCTTCGTGGAGCGTGTCAAGGATACATAAGTGACTAAGCTCCCATATAATGAATTTGATCTTTTTTGGAAATTTTCCCTTCCAAATAGATTGATATAATTGTTCTTTGTCACTAGTTCTAGCTGTAGCAAGAGCCCTTGTCAATGACTTTGAGGTGAATATACCATCTTTATCAATGTTCTAAACCAAAGTGTCCTCTTGGTTAGTGAGAATGATTGAAGATAGTAGGTTGGATAGGCAAGCCCATTCCTTCATTTCATCTTCTTAAGACCTCTCTCTGATGGAGTTTCCAAGAGGCATTTTGGGTGGACCATAAATCAGAAATGGAAGCTTCATTGTTGAGTGTGAGAGCAAATAAAGAGGGGAAGTCCTATTTTAGAATTGACTGGCCCATCAAACAACCTGTCCAAAGCAGAGTATTGTCTCCTACCAACTTTACCAGATATGCGTTTATAAACTAGATTCTTTGATTTCTCAATGCCCTTCTACGAGCTGAATAATAGGATTGACTTTTAATGCTGTTGGAACTTCTTATATTATAAATTGGTGTAATAAGTAAAGGATAAGAGAATGGGACAAAACTAAGTAAGGTCAAATCCCTTAAAATCAAAATAAAAGGGGAAGATAGGGTGGTCAATGTTCCGACAATGGTTTGCTAAAGGAAGCGGATTTATAAACTTGATTTAGATTTGTCATTGTTGAAAGTATTAATGAGAAACATTGCATTGGAGACTACTTGTTCACAAAGATTGTTTCTGAGTTAATGAGTAGATCTTGATTTCTTCGAGGCCCTTTATTAAGAGTTGTCTACTTTGGATAGATACCAAACGAGTGGTTAGCTAGTCAATTCTACGTAAGAAAGAAAGAATAGCTCAATAATTACTATAGACCGGCTAAGCCCATTGAGTGCTATTTAATAGACCTCAATCTTGCCGACAGATGATAAAGATAATCTAGTGCCGCCCATCTTTATTCAAGATAAGAGAAAAATATAGCCTACAAAAAGGAATGACATACTTCCTTGCACAAAAACTTAGAAAGGCACCATGAAAATGGACTTCACCCATTTGATAGGTCAACACATAGAATGGCTAAAAGAGAAACAAATTTCATTGATGAATTAAATAAAAGGAGCTAATAGACTCCCAACCACCCATCGGTGTATTACAAGAAAGATCTCCAATTCGATATAAGAGAAGAAAAGATAGACTATAATTGCTAAAAGGAAATTTATATACATCAACTTGGAGTCTATAAGGAAACTTCGCATCTATTATCAGAAGACATTGATCTAGATACGACAGTCTGAAAAAGACCTCAGCTGTTCAATGGGAATCTAATCGGACGATTATTTGAAACCCCAAAAATACACTAGTCAAGTTCTGAAATATAAGTTCAAGAAGTCAAAACCCAATCCAGATTTTTTTTTTCTTTTGGTTTTTTGGCGTCCGTGGGTGGGGGATTACTAAATTATACACAAAATCTCCTTCTTTCAAATAAATAGTGTTTTTTTTCAGTAGGGTCTCAATGCTCTGCCAAGTTGTGACATTATTGAGTTTCAGGTGGATGATGAAGCTATGGACTTGAATAAAGAACTAATGGACAAGTTGCTTGAACTCGATGATGTCGATGCTGTTTATACAGACCAGAAGTGAATATTTTTTCTTCTGTAATATTCTGTCAACATGGAGAGAGGTACTTTACTCTCCCATATATTGGATCTGTGGTTGCGATCTTAATTCGGTCTAGTCACCTTGAGAGCTGATAGATCTTTCTCAGATGAGAGTTATCTTAAGTTTGTAAGGGCTATGAACTTTTTTTTTACTGCATTATGAGGCAGGGATTTCCTTTCACTTCCCCTCTAGTTTCAAGACCTTAGAAATCGTTGTAGAATAATACTCGAACAAGAGTGATTCCGATGTCAATTATTCAAATTTTATCTTTTTCATAAATTTTAGGTGGGTGAGGGGATGATTCTTCTGATATAAAGTATAATTCAAGGATTGTTTCTTGGTTCTATTGGAAAATGATCTTACTCCACGAGGTGAATAATCGTAGTCGTGCATCATCATTGGTTATATAGAAAATAAAATCACCCACTCTTGAAGTCAGAAAAGTTATATGATATTTGATATGATTCCCATGACTTATACTTACTATTTCTAATGGCTTGAGATTATTGCTGTCTCTTTTACTGTTTGGCCAATCTATGGAGGTGAAGTGATGTGAAGTTTCAATATATTTATAATCTAAAAAACAGAAGCGTTCCCCGCCTGTCCTCCCAAGGTATAAACATTTAAGATTGTTGACCTTGAATTCATTCAACTCAGCCATTATTCTTTTCCAATATCCAATCATTACATGAGATTCATACTTGATTGGACTAATACGAGGCACGTGTGAAATCTCTTGACCACTGGACTTTGCTTTTGGAAACTGTTTCTAGGAATAATATCTGAGTATTTTGCTTTATTCTTCTGTTTCCTTTTTTTTTTTTTTTTATTACTTTTCATGTATTAGAAAAGTACTTATAATTCTTCTTTAAAACTTCCTCCTCTTGAAAAATGCTTTTAAGCGCCTACTAGTTAAATTAAATGTTCTGAAGTAGTAGGTCGACTCAAAATTGAAATTATAGAAAATCACATTCAAATTCAAACGCCATTTTTCTGAAAAAAGTGAATTCAGAAAGAAAATTGTGTATGATGATGCATAACATTTTGTCATTGTTAAACTTATGCTGTCAAATTACTCTCCGTTGAATCCAATATAAGGATTCATGGCCAGTGTACAAAGAAAAGCTGTATATATTAATTTCACAGGTCCAAAGTGGAAGAGAAACTGATGAATACATGAGGAAAAAGGGACCTAAATTCTGTACAAGGTACCTATAATCTACTCCAGCTATATGCTAATACACAGTAGAGCTACGGCGCATCGTTAGTCACCACATGTACGTATTTTCTACTCGTGCCTATGATGTATATATGTGTGTTTTCTGATACTGATTAATTGAACAAGCTACACTTTAGTATTGAAATGATACTAATTCTTTGGAATCCAGCAACCATGTAGCCCATAAGGAAGACCATAGGGAAATTTTGCCCTGGCTATCTCTTCAAATGTGGAGCCATCTAGAAGCAAAGCATACCCTTCTCCATTTTTCCCACTGACCATAGAGATCACCACTCCTGCATTCACAAAATACATTTTAGACACATTCCATTCCTTCCCTTTTTCACTAATGATATGATTTCATAGTTTACCTCCAAAATCGTCTTACATTAGTTAGAAGGTGAAAAAGATTCCGAGTCCGAGAACTTTCAGGTTGTATGTTTATTCAATTCATTCACTTAGAAGATGATATAATGACTTACCGTCGTCCTCTTCGGTTGCACCAGGTCGAGCCACGAAGAAGGGCTCGGAAGGAATAGCACCGCTTTCATACCAATTCTTGGCCTTCTTCTTCACCAAATCAATCTGAAACAAACAAATTCATAACAAGCACAAAAGTGAATTGAGGTGGAAGATCCAGAGACAAGAGGAAGCAGAGGTCAGGGAAAATGGTTGTGGAAGTGTTACCTTAGTGAGTGTGTTGGGGAAATTGCAGGGTCTTTTGGCTCCACAAGCATAAGCATATCTATATTTCTTGCCTAAGTAAGCAGGGTTGAAGCTGCACATGTCCATTCCTCTGCCATGTTCATCTGGGTCCAATGCTGCCTCCAGCTTCCCATGTCCACTCCCATCCAATGGTATTCTGAACCTTCCAACCCTACACAATTCCATTTCCAATTATTCATCCCATCTCTTCTAATCTTGGTGAATTTAAGTGTTATATGATGGCATGCTTTGAGGAGTCTAAATCCAAACAAGTCAAAGCAAAAGCAAAAGACAAAGCCAAAGACAAAGCCAAAACCAGATAATGGTGAATTGTAAGTAGTTTTCTCAAAAGAATTCAACCATTCCGGCTGTGAGTATGTTTATTTTGTTCTTTCTTAAATTCAACAATTCCGGCTTTGCAATTCATTGTATCCCATTAACTTTCCTCGTTATATCTATATATATATATATATATCTTTTTGCTTTGGTCAGTTCATCAGCTCATAATGCCCCCTCTGCATGCATACATAAGATCCGAAAACATTTTAAAAACCTTAAGGAGAAGCCTGAAAGAGAAAACCCGAAGAGGACAATATTTGTCAGCGGTGAACTTGAGCTGTTACAAATTGTACCAAAGCCAGATATCGGGCGATGTGCCAGCGAGGAGGCTGAGCCCCAAAGGGGGGTTAGTGGATTGGGGAGGTCCCTCATCGATTGGAGAAGGGAATGAGTGCCAACGAGGACGCTGGACCCAAAAAGGGGGTGGATTGTTAGATCCCACATCGGTTGAAGAGGGGAACGAAGTATTCTTTATAAGGGTGTGGAAACCTCTCCCTAACAGACGCGTTTGAAAAACCTTGGGAGGAAGCCCGAAAGGAAAAACCCAAAAAGAACAACAATATCTGTTAGCGGCGGGTTTGAGCCATTACAAATAAACACACTAAAGAATGAAAGTAAAAACTCCAAACAGTTTGGATAAGAATGATAAAAAGATCAAACAAACCTAGCATCTGGAAGAGCATGTTTGAGCGAGAAGCGTCGTAAATTATGAAGCCTAAGTCGATCTAAGATTAAAGGATTGGCATTATGTTCGCAACAATCGGCGATCACAGCGGTAATCCTTCCCTTTTCATCTCTCTCTTCATATGCATTTATGAAATGAAATGTAATGAATAATGGTACTTCTACGCTTGCAACCTGCATTTCATTGAAAAGTATGCATTATAAGTAATAATGTCATTTGATATCATATAAGCTTGTTTGCAATTTGTGTACAGGTATCAGCAATAATGCAAAATAAGATAGAAAGGGAAGACGTACAATATTTCCACTAGCTTTGCACATGACATGCATAAAGGCTTTAGACTCCGGCCGCCACTCAAACTTATACAACGGCGTCGGCTCTGCTCTCAGCAAGTTTTGAGCACAATATCTCAATGGCATCTCCGGCACCACCACATAATTCTCCGTCACTGGAAACGAGTGGACCCAACCTGGGGCTGGTCCGCCCTTGCAGTTGACCCGACCGATCACCTTTCGCTCGTTCGAGCCTGGTTCCATCCGAACCACCAAGTAACCTGGGTTTAAAAGATCTGGCAACAACGTCAAAAACTCCGAGTCCGTAACAATTGGATGAGCCGAGTGAATCAAACCGCCAAGTGAATCACTATACTCAAACTTTCCCATGGTTTCTAACGTACTCGGGTTGATTATTATAGACCCCTTTTGCGTCTCTGTAAGACACACGACTCGACTGTCGCCAAGCTTCACGACTCCAGTGTTTGCATTATCAGTCAACGATACACCAGAGAAAAGGTTTGCAAGCTCTCCAACATAGGCAAGAAAGTTATCAGTCTTGGGAACTTCAGAGAATTCACGATAACAAACCTTTTGATTCTTCATGGCAGCCTTATAAGCATTCGATTCGATTTGACGGTGTCCAGCAATTAACCGACCATCTTCAAACTGAAGCTTAACAATGGTAGCATAACCATCAAAAAGGTGACGAAAGTTATAATTTCCAATATTCCATACTCCAGGTCCATTTCTCAAATACGTTCCATTCTACATGAAAAAAATGATTCAATTTAATCAATACGACAATCATCTAATAAAACATTAAAAACTATAGTATAAAAAATGTCATCCAAATATAGTTTTTCAATCATATTGAAATAGTTATGATATTCATTGAGCATGTAGGTACAATAATTAACATTAATTAATGTAATTAAAGTTTGAATGAAACACTAACCAACATCTTATGATTCACATGATGTTATGTCTTGTTTGAAAAAGACAACTGAGAGAATTGTTTAGGTTATGAACATATTTTTTTTTTTTTTTATAGTATTTGTGTTCCCATCAACAAACATAAATCAATTAAACCAAAGAATATCCATCAGTATATTTTAAGAATAATAATTTTTATTTGTTTAAATTATTAAAAAAAAACTATTTTCCCATAATGATTAATCACCATATGAATGGAATTTTTTTCAATCATATGCATGCAAGCTTTAAAATCGATTTCGATCGAATGTTTAAATTTTCATAGCATGTTTGAAGCTAATTTTAAGCATGTCACGGAATCGTATCCATTTTAATTTAATGGTTAAGAAACGAACCAGCCAACGAGGCAATTGGCCTTGGATGGAGAGTTGTCCTTCCCATTGGTCTTGTCGAATGCTGGTCCATGCAACGTGAGTCGGGGGGGTGGAGGTGTCGATATTAGGAAATGGAACGACGACGGGTGGCGAGGGGCGGATGGGACTGGCTATACTTCTGATGGTGAAGTTGGAAACGGAGCGTTTTGGAGGGTGGAGGGGAAGACATGGATTATAGGCTTTGAAGCTAATGCAGCTTCCGGCGGCCATGGAAGCCATCTTGAGAGAATTGCTTATGATTTGGAAGAGAGAGAGAGATGGTGATGAGACAAGGAGTTGAAAGAGAGTTATTTATAAGAGAAAATAATAATAATAATAATAATAATAATTATTATTATTATTATTTTGCATTGGAATCTTCATTGGTGGAGTTCCATTTCACAAGAAGACATTGGTTTTTTAATTTTATTTTTTTAAAAAATTAATTAATTTCTTAATTTCTCTCTCTCTCATGCGAGGTGTTATTTGAATTTCATTTTGCAAAATTTAAAGAGTTTTAAAAAAAATGTGAAATTCTTAAAAAATAAAAAAATAAAAAATCATCCGAATATAAACCCTAAACAATCTATGATGTATGATAATATCGAGTTTTTTTACACCAAAATATTATATGATCAAACGGGTTGTCTTGTATGATTAGTCATAGTGAGGTTAATTGATCAACACCGGCTGTCTCTTATGCATGCTTGCCAAAGAAGAATTAATGATCTATTGTGAGATCCCACCGTGGTTAGAGAGAGGAATGAAACATTATTTGTAAGAGTATGAAAACCTCTCCCTATTCGGAAGGTAAGTTCTCAAAATATATATTGAAATTCAATTGCAAATCTTAATTAACCGTCTGGAAATAAATAAATATATGTTTTAGGGATAATCAACTACTGGAACAACCTAAACTAAACGGGTAAATTATTTAATAAGAGTTGTTTGGGTTGAAAAAATTTACAATCCAACAATTGGGTTTGGTCTGAAACATGTTTTAACCCGATCCAACCCAATTTACGAACAACACTATGGCCTATAGCACCATCTCGACCGTTGAAAAAATTTACAACTCAAATAATTGGATTTAGTTTGATGATATCATAACACATTTATGGTTCATTATAGTACTAATAATAATAAATAATTAAGAAAATAGTAATTATAGTGAAATCTTCAGTATTAATATGAAAAATAACAGTATTAATAAACAATAATTAAGGGTGTAATTGATTATGACGCCATTTGGCAATTAAAATTTCCAACTTTCAATTTATAATCACCGTTTACATCATCACAGCTTGATAATTATCCTTTGAAAATCCCAAACTTCCAATAAAGTTAGGGTTTTACTCAAAATAATTCTATTCTTAATTTAATTTTTTAATTAAGATATTAAACTTGGTCCGTTACGTATCGTTATCAGCTTCATCATTTTAAAACAAATCTATTAGGGAGAGGTTTCCACACTACACTATAAGGAATGTTTCGTCCCCTCTCCAATCGATGTGGGATCTCAAAATCCAACCCACTTGGGACCCAACATCCTTACTAGCACATTGTCCCGTGTTTGGCTTTGATATCATTTATAATAGCCTAAGCCCACCACTAACAAATATTGTCTACTTTGGTCCGTTACGTATCGTCGTCTGTTAGAGAGAGGTTTTTATACCACTATAAAGAATGTTTCGTTCACCTCTTCAACCGATGTGGGATCTCACATATCGATTTTCTCGAGAAAAATTTATTTTTCGTCCCTAGAATTTGAATAAAATAATAGTAGGTATGGGAGAGGGATGGGATGGAATGGAATATTTGACCATCCAAAGTGGAGGAGATGAAACAAACCCAAAATTATGATGTTTTCCATCAAACAAACCCATATACTTTTTTTTTTAATTTATTTTTTTATTTTTTATTTTAGTCCATACACTTCTGGAAAAGTGGGTTCGTTTGCCATGGCCAAATATGAAAAACGCTACCTTATAACTTGGGAAACCAACGCCCTCGTTGACACACCACTCAGTGTCTAACTCTGATATTATTTGTGATAGCTCATTCCATCGTTAGTAAACATTGTCCGCTTTATCTCGTTATTTATTATCGTCAATCTCACAATTTTAAAACGTGTCTACTCTAAAAAATGGTCTAGTTCTACTCCAACCAATGCACCACATGATCTAGTGACTACCTCTAATACCATTTAACAACCCAAGACCACCAACAGTAGATATTGTTCAGTTTGTCCCAATGCATATTATCATCAGCCTCACGGTTTTAAAACGCATCTACTAGGGAGAGGAGTCCACACTGTTGTAAGAAATGTTTCGTTTCCATCTTCAACTAATGTAGGATCTCACAGACCCATTACAAAGTTGCGTTCATAAACTTAATTATCATATATTTTTTAAAACTCGATGAGACTAAATTCGTAATTTAACTAAAAAACGTTTTAATGGGATGAAACATTTTGCTTCCACATGGCAAACAAAAGTTTGTACCTTTTATTTTAATTGGCTTCTCATTCATAAAACACACAATTTATTACAATCATTGTTATTGTTGCCATTACCTTGGAAAATTATATTTTCAAAACAAATTAAATTAATATATATATATATATATATAAATTGAGAAATTACAATCATTTTCCATTTTGACTATATAATATATTGCCTTACAATATCGATCGTGTGTTGTATTATGGGAAATTTCTATTCCCACGTATACAAATATTTATTTATTATTATTTTTTATTTTATTTAATCACCAATAATAATTAAATGGAACCTAATAATTCTTCAATTTTGAATTATAAAATTAAAATTAATAAAAAAATC